ATTCACAAAATGAGCCTTTCCAAGACTCCCAAAGTATAAAAGTGCAATACATGAGTAAGTTTGGTGAATTTCCTTTGTTTCCTACTTTTAAGCATTTGCTTTTGTATCATAAATTCTCCCACCTTTTACTAAAAATATTTTCTATATTTGTTTTTTCAGCTGCCTTTCTATGTTGGACACATGATGAAGTACAATTTACAACTAAAAATACCACACACCATTTCCTAACTATTCCTCTGAGAATTGATACGAATTGAGATATCATCTTCAGGCAAAAGCTTCCCAGTAATAGCTGCATTTCTCCCCAATATGGTTGCACTAATGTGTAATAAATCTAACTTCTCACAAAGGTGTCCTCTCCAACTTCTGCATTCATAGTGTTTCTTCCTCAAGTGAGATCTTTGACATATATAATGGTTGAACAATTACAGCTAAAGATTTTTCCACCTTCCAGTGTCAGAATATTTTTTTCCTATAAAAATCTGTAACATATAAGATAAAATTTGTTACTGAGTGGGTCACTTCAATTGCAAGGCTTATTCCTGTTCAAATTCCTAATTAGCCTCTAAGGCTTGACTTCTAGAAAAAGGCTGTAGCACAATTACTTACATTTTATCTCCTAGGAGCTCATAGATGTTTAATAATGGATGGGTACCTGAAGAAGATATTGTCACAAGAACTGTGTTCATAGGGTTTTCTCCTTGCATGAGTTCATTCTTGTATAAGGAGTTATGACTCCCCAAGGAAGGATTCTCCACCTTCAATGAAGGCATAGATTTCTCTCCTGTGTGAATTTTCTTATGTTCAATAAGGAATACTTATGGACAAAGGCTAAGCCACATTCACTGCATGAACAAGGTCTCACTCCAGTATGAGTTCCCAGATGTCAAATGAGATGTGACTTACTTCTAAAGGCTTTGCTGCACTCATTACATTTATAAGGTTTTCTTCTGTATGAATTCTCTGAAATCAGGTTAGCTCTGACTATAGATAGAAGGTTCTTCCACATTCAGTGCATTCATAAGTCTTCTCTCCTGTATGAAACCTCTGCTGTACAGTGAGATGTGCCTTTTGGAAAAGACTTTCCCACACAGACTGCATCCAGAAAGTTTCTAACCAGTGTGATATCATTGGTGTCCAGTGAGCTGGGAATTCTGACTGAAGGCTTTCCCACATTCACTGCATCCAAATGATTTCTCTCCTGTATGAGCTCACCAATGTACCATGAGTACCTTCTTCGACGTTATGAAGAAGGTTTTCTCACACTCATTACATACATGGAGTTTCTCTCCTCTGTGAGTTCTCTGATGCTCAGTAAGCTGAGTCTTCTTTATGAATGTTTTTCCACATTCATTGCATCCATGGTGTTTCTCTCCTCTTTCGGGTCTTTGATGTCTAACGAGGTGTGCTTTCCTGGAGAAGACTTTTCCACACTCATTGCATTCATATGGATTCTCTCCTGTATACGTTTTGTGATAGTCATTGAGCTGTGATTTAGTGCTACTGGGGTTAACTCTTAACGTGGAATTTAATTCCAGCAAGAGTTTTGTCATGCTTGATAGGGAGACATGACTTCGCAAAATGACCCAGTCATCAGAATCCTTTTCTGCATATCTTCTATTCTGGATTACAGAACCTAAAAGAGATTTCAAACTTTTACAATGTAAGTCAAGTTTCTTGTATTTTTCTGTTAAAGAAATAATAGTTCTGCATAAACCAAAATTATTTTCAAGGACAAATTTGCTGATATCTTTTTAAACTTTTAAGCTCATGTTGGTTTTGTGTGCATATTTTGAATGCATACTTTCGACCTCCTGTATTTCTACTAGAAAAAAAAAATCCATGATTTTTATTTTTTTGCAGAGGGCACAAGGGTTACAAAAATGTATTTTTGACCGACTTTTATAAGATCTCAGTCTAAGAGAACTTACCCAATGTTCTAGGATAAGATACTAACTAAAACAGCAAAAGGAAACAAGTATATTAGCAACATTTATAAATAGTCCATAATTAATAAGTATTTCTTGAACTGCTTTCCAAAAAGGACCTTGCAAAATGAGAATGGAAGTAGAAATAGAAAGACACTGAGATTGAACAGATCAAAACCAGATGGAGGGCATGGATCCATTCATTCAATAAACTTTGAATGGGGTGATATTTACGATGCTAAAGTGACGAATAATATATTGTCCATGTCCATGAAGCTGTCATGCTAGTAAATAGAATTAATAGTTAAGCAAAGAATTAAGAAAATTTGAGAATGTGGAAAACAGTACAAAGGAAGTGATAAAGTATGTGAGGTCAACCTTAGAAATCCACAAGAATAAAAAAGGAAAGCAGACATCATAAGATAAGAAGGAGAAATGTTATGCAAAAACATTAAAAAACATTCCAAGCAAAGGAAACAGTCACATCAAAATGCAGAGGTGAAAACACAGGCATGATCAAGGAACATAAGAGATACTAGTGTTCCTGCAACATCCCAAACTTGAGTGACATAGTAGTATGTAAGATTGGTGAAGCTGACAGAATTGAGACGCGACTCAACACATTAGAACAAATGGTCCTGGTTCTTGGAGACCAGCTTGCTGCTTTAAAGACTTGGGTTATGTTATGGTGTCATGCAGAGTTCCAATGGATTTGTGTAACCTCTAAGCCTTATAATGATTCTGTATGGCATTGGGATCTGGTTAGAAATTATTTGCTGGGAATGTGGTCTTTTAATAATGTTTCTTGGAATATTGCTCAATTACATCAAAATATCGTAAAAATTTCTACAGCTGGGTCACCTTTATTACCTGCTAGCTCTGTGGCTAATGATATTCTTGGTAAAATTAAGCAACTGGTATCTTCACATAGCTTATAGTCTACAGTATATTCTTTAATAGCATTGAGAGTGCTGATTTTGACTTTACTGTTTTGTCTCCCAGTCTGCATCCAGGCAGGAGGACAAGCCATCAAAGAGCTCCAAATAGAAGTCCATAAACTGCACTTAAAAGAAAAGGAAAAGGAGGAGATGAAGGAAACCAGAGCATAAGCTGACAAAGTCATTATGTTTCTTGGTTGGTGTTCAAGGAACCAAGCCTACATTTCCTTTGTCTCCTCTGAACTTTGGGTTGATTTTCTATGGATAGCAGAGTGGCACCAAGTATAGCTATTCTATGGATAGCAGAGTGGTGCCACATCTGGCCTGGAGGCTGTTTATCTTGTGATCACCTTGCTTTTAACTTAGAAAGCATAGATATTAAGGTATGCATAGTTTAGTCATTAATACTTACCCTGCTTGTGTGATTTAGTTTAGACATTAACATATATCCTGCTTGTGTGGTTTTGCCCTCCTTTGTGTGATTTTGCCCTATATAAGAGGCATGCTGTGAAAATAAACTTGCTCTCTGTTGCTACTTGCTACCTGGGAAAGAGCTCTCCCAATCCCGTGTTTCTTTGTTTCTTTCTTTTCTCATTCCCTCTGCCCACCTCAGGCACTGCTCAGTGGAGGGTGGAACTCTGCAAGAAGGCTGAGGCAGAAGAATTGCCTAAGCCCAGCAGGTCAAGGCTGCAGTGGGCATAAGTGTGCCACTGTATCCTAGTCTAGGAAACAGAAGGAGACTCCAATTAAAAAAAAAACTCAGATAAATAAGTTAGCAACAAATAGCATATATGTACACCAAAAATATTAGTCAGCATTAGAAAGGAAGGAAATTCTGGCACATGTAATGACATAGAGCAACCTTGAGGACACTGTGCTAAATGAAATAAGCCAGCCACAAAAAGAGAAATCCTGTATTATATAACTTACATCAGATACTTAAGAGTAGTCAAAATCATAAAGACAGAAATTAGAACAACGGACACCAGGGACTGGTGGATGGTGGGGGAAGAATGGGTAGTTACTGTTTCATGGGAAAAGAGTTTCAGTTTTATAAGATAAAAAAAGTTATAAAGACAAATGGAAATGGTGGTTACACAACAATGAATGCATTTAATTTGCATTTAATCCCACTGAACTGCACACTTAAAAATGGTTAATATGCAAATTTTGTTATGCACGTTTTACCACAAAAAAAAAAATAAAAAAGCCTATGACAGGTAATGCCTTCAATTCAAATCTTTGAATATTCAAGGGATCATATAGAGTTCACCAAACAAAAAAGAAAATGTAACTGACTGTGATTCTGTCCTTACCTACTGATATAAGGTTGCCATAGTTGTCCAACATTATTCCATGTAACGAACCCTCTGAGTCAGGTCCAAAAATTACCACTCCTCCCCGGTGAAGTACACAGTTACATCTTTGAAGGATAATTATCCCTATAAAAGCACATCCAATGCAATCTGAGGTGGATATCAACAGATGACATGGAAAAGAGGAACAGGAACATACTCTGATGCTTTTCTCCATGATCAATTATGCCCTCTGTGTCTATTTCACATACATAGTACCATGGAAATCTGCTAATCCTTCTAATATTAAAATCCACTAAAACAGTATCTGCATAACTACAGAATAATGTACAATATGAATGTTCATTATTCCTTTGTTTATATTACTGAAAACTTAATATTCTTAATGTGCATAAAAAGCAAAAAGAATTACATTATAGCTTATCCATGCTATAATATACTATATGGATGTTAAATTAATGAGGTAGATGTGTCAATATGGATATCAATGATCCTCAAGACATCCTCTTAAATGGAAAAAAATCAAGCTCCCAAATTATATAATGTGAATCAAGACACAAAAAAATTGTAATAATATATGCAATTATATATGTATAAGTACATATTTTGTAGGTATGTTAGAACTGTATATAAATGTAGATGTATTCCACCACATGTCAAAGAAAGGGGCCAGATGAAAACCCAAATATTAACATTTGTTACCCTTTGGGTTAGGTTTGGTCAGAAAAAGGGTGAAAGGGGATAATGTCTTTTGATATAATACTTCTATTTGCTTGAATCTCTTGTATGTAAATATAGCCACATATTATTTGAGTACTTAAAAATACAAAAACCAGGCCAGGTACAGTGGTTACAAAAGTAATCCCGCAATTTGGGAGGCCAAGAGTGCAAGATCAGGTTGGACAATACAGTAAGACTTTATTCTCTAAAAAATTATGGCCAGGTGTGGTGGTTCATGTCTATAATCCCAGCACTTTAGGAGGTGGAGGCAAGAAAGTTGCCTGAGCCAAAAGCTTCAACAACAGCTCAAGCAACTTGATGAGACCTCATATTTAGAATAAACCCAAAACAAGCCAAGTGTGGTGGTGCATGCCTGCAGTTCCAGCTACTTGGAAGGCTGAGGTGGAAGTATCACCTGAGCACAGGAAGTCAATGCTACAGTGGCCATAAGCATGCCACTGCACTTCACCCTGGGTGACAGAGTGAGACTCTGACTCAAAAAATAAAATAAATAAAATACATTTTTAAAAATTATGAAGACAAAATAAGAATCACTGGCATTGACTTCATTTTTTGAAACTGAGGTAAGAAGCTAAGAGAGAAGCACTGTTGGTATCTGTATTCCAAGCTATTTTCAAAAAAGGAACTCTCAGCCGACTCCTGCCAAATCAATAACATAAATCTGGTTGACAGAATCTTTCTTCATGGGTGATCAAGCAGCCAATTTTTTCTACTGAGTAATACTGACTTTATTTCCAGGTAAATTAAGACTACCAGAAGGCTCTATTTTCAAGTCAAACTGTCCAATACAGTTTTCCTTTGGCATTATCTTCTTAGGTGACCCCAAGGAACAATAAGAAAAAGCAAAATAAAACAGCATTTACCTTTATTACGAGGGTGATATGGAGGACACTATCTACCACAAAACCTTCCTGAAGAAAGTACATTTCTTAAGTTCTAAGAGCTATGACATATTTACTTACTTTGAAAAACTGTCTTGCCTTCTTCTCATTGCTATCATGGCCTGTTTTATGTTTTTCTTGCTTTTACAGCTGCCAAGAGAACATAGATTACAAAGCAAAGGCAACCTGTAGGGTCCTACACACAGTGAATAAGCCATTTCAACATTAAGACTGCTGCACAAACTTTATCTCCTACCTATCTTGCTTTGTAATTTGACCCGATTGTATGCTTATAACTAAACCTATTTTTCAACAGATACTGTTTTCTCTCAACATTTACTGTCTTATTTAACCAGACTGTCTGTTTCAACATATCCATTGACAAAAATAGGATAAAATAAGTAAAAACAAAACAAAACAAAACAAAAAAATCTAACTTGGGCCTTGGCCATTTTCTTCTGTTCTTAAGAAAAGACTAGCAACTCTGAGGTGTGCTCTGTCTTCTGTCTATCCTAAATGCGCTCAGAAGCTGTGATCAGGTAACTCATATCAGGCTACTCCCAGAAACAGGCATCTCCTGAGTATGGGATTTTCTTCTACTGTTACCAAAAATTTCTTGTTCCTATGGATGAGACCTTGTGGATTCAAAACCAATTCATACATAAGAGGACATGTAACTGGGACCAAAACTCGGTAATTGTCATTTGAACTCACACTAATATAAAGGTCCCAATATTTCATCTGCTTCCTTAAAATCCTAGTAGCTTTTAATCATGAGGTTGTGCTCCACAATAAGACATCAAATGAACAAGAGGAAGGTTTTTTGTTTTATAAAGTTGGTATACAGGAGATGTGAAAGAGGAGATAGCAAGTAAAAACTACTCATGGTCTTATCTGCTGCAATTTCTCACATGGATCAATTTTAGTTCAGAGGAGAAAAGTCACATGATTATCTATTTATAAACAAATACTAAAAAAATTCATAAAATGCACTATTGCTCATTATAAATTCATGATAGCCTAAGAATGAAATGACTATTTCCTTAAACATGTTAAACAAAGACACACACAGACACACACACACACACACACACACAGAACATCCTAAATATCTTTTGGAAAAACATAAAAATTTCGGCCAGGTACTGTGACTCACACCTGTAATCACATCACTTTAGGAGGGCAAGGCAGAAGAACTGCTTGAGCCCAGGAATTTGAGATCACCTTAGCCACCATAGCAGGACCTCATTTCTACAGAAGAATACAAATATTAAGCAAAGTGGCACTCGCCTGTAGTCCCAGGTGGAGGCTGACGCAGAATGATCACCGGAGCATTCTGCGTCAGAATGACTGTGGTGGCTGTGGTGAAATGTTTGTGCCACTGCACTTCAGCCTGGGTGACAGGGTGAGACGCTGACATAAAAAAATTCTCAATTAATCTTCACAATGATTCTATAAAATAGGAATTATAACAACTTTTTTTTTCAAAAATGATAAAGCTTTCTCTGAGATTAACTCACCTAACTTAAAGACAGAAACATGTTTTTCTTACTCCACAATCCATACACTCCCACTTGGGTAAAATTTTTGCAGATGACAAAAATGTTCAATTAGGAAACAGAAAGCAATCAATTTATAACCTATGTATAAAAACATGAGTAGAATGAAGTGGCAAAATAGACATTTGTTTTTAAACTTTTGATCTTGTGCATAACATGAAATTAGAAGTGCTGCATCCTTCATGCTGGATTGTAAAGGATCCTGAAAAAGGAATGGTGTGGTATAATACAATTTACAAGACACTTTTAGGTTAGAAATTGGGGGATCAGAAGGCACCTTGTCTTGCGGAGCAAAGGTCCCAAATTTCTTACCCATCAGACTTTTATTACTACAAAATAATGTAGAGTTAAGTAAGCCTTCAATGACAAAGTATAGACAGTGCAAAGAAAACTCCCTGTTTTGGTCTTAGAAGGCTTTTATGACAAAGCGTGGGATGTTTTTGGTGTCACATCAAAGAATTCTTCACCTAGTGCTGTGTAACAAAGATTTTTCTCAGGTGTTTTCTTCTCAAAAGTTTTGCCGCTTTCTTTTACATTTAATAAGTATTTTATCTACTTTGAGTTCATTTTTATATCAGTCGTGAAGTTGGAAATACATGTAAACAATAAAATGTCAAATTTCAAGGGT